AACCTCTGGCTTTGGAGAACATGCGACCCATCTCGCTTACGTCCTGCGTAGGCAAGGTGGCCGAACATGTGATTCACCATCGGGTATCCGAGTACATAGAAAGCAGAGAGCTATTTCCACACAATATGGTAGGGTTCAGACCAGCACTATCCACACAGGACGTGATGCTCCTTATCAAAAGACAAATCATTGACAACAACACCAGGGATACTAGAGGCATACTAGCTCTAGACCTAGCCAAAGCTTTTGATAATATCTCGCACAAGTTTGTGCTTGAGGCAATTTCGGTTATGGGTCTAGGACAACGGTTCCACGCATACGTTAGGTCTTTTCTCAGGGATCGCAGCTACCATTAGGATCGTTCAAATCCAATCCACGGAATTTACCTTGGGAGCGAGAGGCACCCCACAGGGAACAGTTATCTCTCCTTTACTCTTCAATATTGCCATGAAGGGCCTCTCGGAGCGACTCGCTACGGTGCGCGGGGTTAACCATGCTCTCTACGCGGACGATATCACCGTGTGTTGCATGGGAGGGTCCGACGCCGGGTAAAGCAGGCGCTTCAAGAGGCATTAGACATCCCGGAGAACTTTCTAGTCGGTTCGGGCCTGAGCGTGTCATCGGCAAAGTCTGAGTTACAACTATACAGACCCACCCGACAAGGACTGAGGAACCTCACTCTTTTAGAACAGAATCCCATAGCTTTATACACACAGGGCGGGCAGAAAATACCCAGGGTGGACTCCATCAGGGTCCTCGGACTCCTGCTAGAGTCCAAGGGGGGCAACTCACGAACTATAGCCCGCATCACCTCCAAGACGGAGAACATGCTTAGGCTCATACTCAGGGTCTCGAACCGCAGGGGTGGGCTGAGCGAGAGCAATCTCCTTCGGCTCTATCATGCATTTCTCATCAACCACATTAATTATGTCGCTTCGGCGTTGCGCTGGTCCAAAAGAGAAGAGGCAAGAATTGATACACTAATGCGCAAAAGCATAAAGCGAGTTCTAGGCTTGCCTATCCATACTAGCACCGAGAAGCTCCTACAATTGGGCATGCATAACTCCCTCTCGGAGGTGATCGAGGCCCAGCAGATGACTCAGGTCGTGCGACTATTGTCCTCGAGGGCTGGTAGGCGCATCCTGGAATTCATAGGCTGCGGTCCTACGGCGACTAACCAGCGTAATGTAACACTACCACCCTCGATCAGAGGCACGTTTTCGGTAGCTCCACTTCCAAGAAATGTCCACCCACAATACAATGTAGGGCGCCGCATAGCTCGGGCCCGTTCCTTATTAAAATCAGTTGCAAACAGACCGCATCTCGCGACCTTTGTCGATGCAGCCCAGTACGGGCGTTCCGATCGCTTCGCAGTGGTCTCGGTCGATCATAGTGGCACACTCCTATGCTCTGCCTCGGTTAGAAAGGTTTCGGCAATGGTGGCTGAGCAAATCGCCATCGCCATAGCAATGAAGGACCCATCGCGTCCTAATGTCTTTACAGATTCACGTTCCGCAGCTAGGGCTTTCGCCTCGGGCTCGATCTCGCGTGAGGCAGCGGCCATCCTCGGCTGTGAGGGGGCTGTCGGGTTTCACACCATAACATGGTTCCCGGCCCACATGGGGGCCAACGTACATCCTGATGTCCCCAACGCCAATGAGTTTGCCCATGACCGTGCCCGAGGTATCGCTCACCGCGGCGGTCCCGGCGGATTCGCAGGCGGGGACGCCGGAAGATGCAGAACTTGCTACTCACTTTCCACGAGATCATGACTCATTATCATCTATCTCGGAGGGCTTTTCCACTTCCTCATCCTAAACTTACGCGACCGCAATCATCGGCCTACAGGATGCTCCAAACGGGGTCTTTCCCTTCGCGAGGCAGGTTCAGTCATTTTTCGCCCAACATCGAGCCGCATTGTCCGGACTGCGGAGAGGCGTATTGCTCATTACCTCATTAGCTCTGGCAATGTCCTGCGTTACGTGACGCAGAGTTCAACAAAGAAGAGGACTGGGAGGAAGCCATTAACAGCGGCGACCTCTTGGTTCAACTTCGGGCTGTCCAGAGGGCCTGCGAGAGGGCGGAGGGCCACGGTCTTCCGCTCCCTACGTGGGAGTGGCCCGCGACTGCTACGGATTCCCCCTAAACGGGGCCGTTACAACGCAGTTCCTCAGGACCTGAACAAAGTTCCTTGTCTGTCCGTCTGTCTGCTGCACTTCGCACCAATGCATTGCACTGTGTCTGCCGCTTTTCGTGACGGCGGGACGCCGGATGCGCTGAAAAGCGCTTGCGTCAATGCAACGCAGCGCGGCACGTGTCTGCGAGCGGCGCCTGGAGTGGCAACGCCGGCGTGACGCGACGAAACGAACGCCGCTGCGCACGCCCTCCGGGTCGCGTCGAAATGTATTGGCGCCTTGACTGTGGCATGCAGTCATGTTCTCACAAGACACGCATCTCATGATTATCATGTTTGCACCAGTCACAAACACCCGTCATCCATTCCCGTAGCGTAATACCAAATTTGGTATATGTGACGCTAACAAAATGGTCACGAGAGCACCATGAGCGAAGCATGTAGTCATGTTGTTACATGACACGCATGTCATATTTATCACATTAGGGTCTATCGCTTGGGTTCGACAAGCAATCATGTCATTCCATACCAATTTCGCAACATGTCATCTGAACAAAACCAACGCAAGAACAGCAAGACCATGAAAGGTGATTCATGAGATTCATGACATACATGTCATGATTTTCATGTTATGACTAGTCAAATATCCTCGTCATACAGTCATGGTACGCCATACCAAGTTTGGTGTCGATATTATTATCCAAACGGTCAGGAGAGCTAAACGTCGTAGGCGGCTAGATAGATAGATAGATAGATAGATAGATAGATAGATAGATAGATAGATAGATAGATAGATAGATAGATAGATAGATAGATAGATAGATAGATACGCTGAAAGTCACTGAAATCCGCTATGAAATGCTCCGCATTTAAAAAGCGTTTTTGCGGCTTCTCGTTCCAGCGCCAACCTTCCAGAAACGTGAGCCACGTGTTTGCTTGTTACCTTAGAAGCTTGGTTGATGATTAATGCGCAGAGAGAACAAAACAAAGAAGATTATCTCAGCAGCGCGAGGAAGTGCGTATCGGTGAACACGATAGCGAGATTGAATAATCAGGAGGGCCGAGTTTAAAAAGAAGCCTTTTAGTGAAGAGCTGTGGCGATGCATGAGAGGTCTTTTTCCGTTGCCTGCCCTCAATGAGCTGTATAGCGGCTGCTGCACAGTGAAAACTACTGGTAGAGAGAGAGAAAACTTTATTAAAAGGTGAGTCAATTGCTCAGGCATGGCCCGTTGCCCGTAGCTGTCGGCCGGAATCCCTTGGGACGCGGCAGCAGCAGGGGCTTGACTGATGATGTCGCGCTGGACGTTGGGATCTGGGCTGCAGAGGAGGGCCTCCCAGGATTCTACAGTGCGAGAACCATCGTTTTGACTTGGACATGTCCACACCATGTGGACCAAATTCGCTACTTCATCACAAAATTTACACTGGGACTGGAAAACTGCGGGGTGCTACTTGCTGTAAAGTGCGGGGTTTTGAAAAACCCCGGTCTGTAACTTTCGCCACAAAATCTCGTTTTTCTTACTTAGTGAGTTGTCCGCTCTCGGGTATACTTGCCGATTCAGCCTGTAGTGTGCGACGATTTCATGGTATGTGCGCATATACTCGCTTCTTTGTTCGGTAACTTGGGAGGTTCCAGGGGTCGACCGGTAGGTGAGACCTCGGGCGACGGAATGAGCCTCCTCGTTCCCTCTAAGTCCTTGGTGAGCTGGAGCCCAGACAAGCAGAATCTGCTCTTTGGGTACTCCTACCATGTTTAATATACGGATGGCAGTCTCCGTCACCCTTCCCGATTCGTAATTTCTCACAGCGTTTTTGGAGTCGCTGATGACCACCCTGATCCCCTTTTGGCTGATGGCTAAAGCTATGGCCACTTCCTCGGCCTCTACAGTCTCGACACCAAGTACTGTGCAGCACGCAATTAGGCCACCATCTCCCCTGACCGCCACTGCCGTGTGTGCCGCTTTGCTTTCATATTCCGCAGCGTCTGTATACGCGACGTCCTGTCGACCAGTGTACCTAGATTGTAATGCCTCTGCCCTGGCTTTACGCCTGCCTTCGTGAAAGGTAGGGTTCATATTTCTGGGTAGCGGAGGTATCTTTATCCTGTCCCTGATCTGTATCGGTATGTCTTTTGAACGCGCTTGCTCACGCGTGGGCCCATAGCCCAATCTCTTTAATATTGCTCTCCCCGTTTTAGATCCGAGTAGTCTTTGATGTTGTGCAGTAACAGTAGCCTCAATTAGCTCATCGAGTGTGTTAGATACCCCCAACTTCATAAGTCTGTCAGTTGACGTGTTTGGGGGAAGTCCGAGCGCGACTTTCACACTTTTCCTGATAATGGTGTCGAGTTTGCCCCGCTCCGCTTGGTTTAATTTTAAATAAGGTGCCACGTACACTATCCTACTTATTATGAAGGTCTGCACTAATCTAAGAAGGTTCGCCTCCTTCATCCCAGCATGCCTGTTTGCTATTCGTCTGATGAGACGACATGTCTGATTAGAACTGGCTTCCAACCTAGCAAGAGTTTCAGAATTCTTACGGTTCGCCCGAATCCTTAGTCCAAGGACACGGATACTGTCGACCGCGGGGATCTCTGCGCCGTTAACATACAAGTGGATGTCCACTTCAGGCCTGTTGTGGAGACGCCGTTTTCCGGCGGGCATGAGGAAGAGTGCTTCCGACTTTTCGGCCGAGCATTTAAGTCCTTTGGGCTCCACGTCATCAGAAGTAGACACCGTTCCTACTACAACAGGGGTACAAGGCCGCTACCAGGACTTCCTGAGGGCTCCCGCGTCACAGTGTACAACGTACCATCAAAGACCTGGTCCCCTGCTACGGTTATCAAGCCTGCCAACAGTCCGAGAGCCTACATTGTTGAGACCGAAGATGGACTCCAGTTGCAGCGCACCAGAGAACATCTCCGTCTGGCCCCCACTCCACTGGTGCCCCCCACGTCAGCTTGATGTTCTTGTGTGGGGGGCACCAGTGGAGTGGGGGCCAGACGGAGATGTTCTCTGGTGCGCTGCAACTGGAGTCCATCTTCGGTCTCAACAATGTAGGCTCTCGGACTGTTGGCAGGCTTGATAACCGTAGCAGGGGACCAGGTCTTTGATGGTACGTTGTACACTGTGACGCGGGAGCCCTCAGGAAGTCCTGGTAGCGGCCTTGTACCCCTGTTGTAGTAGGAACGGTGTCTACTTCTGATGACGTGGAGCCGCCGTTGAACCTCCTCTGGCGGTATGGTCTGCGGTCGCAGGTGGGTTTCCGTGACTGGCAGCAGCGTCCTCGCATTTCGGCCCATGAGTCTCTGCATTGGAGATTTCAAATAGGAATCGCGAGGAGTGTTTCTCCATTCAAGCAATGCAGCACAAAAATCCACTGTGCCGTACCGATACCTCTTCAGCAATTTTTTGGCTTCTTGCACCGCACGTTCAGCCATTCCGTTTGATCGAGGGTGATAGGGGCTGGAGCGAACATGGTGCAAGCTAATCTTACCGACAAATTCACGAAAGTCCTGGCTGCTGAATGGCGGTCCATTGTCCGTGCATAGGCGCTGCGGGAAGCCATGAGTGGCGAATATGTCTGCGAAGGCAGCAATCACCTTGTCGGCTGTCGTCTTCACGGGCCTGATTTCGAAAAAGAAAGAATAAAAGTCAACAACCACCAAGTACTCGGTAGCATTGTGATAGCATATGTCGGCTCCCACAACTTCCCAGGGTAGGCTAGGAATTTCATGGTTCATCAATGGCAAGCGCAGATTTCGTGGCTTGTGCTTTTGGCAGGTCTCACAGCGTCGAGCAACTTCCTCTAGATCGCTGTTTATAGAAGGCCAAAAAAGTACAGCTCGAGCACGTGCTTTCATTTTTTCTGCTCCCCCATGCGCTGCATGAAGGCAGGCAAGAACTTCGCTGCGCATCTTGGCCGGAATGATGAGGCGGTTGCTCCTGAATACTAGGCCATCTTGCGTATGCAGCTCGTCGCGGAAGCTCCAGTAGCATCGTAGCTCGCTGCTGACGTCAGCTTTGCTCTCCGGCCACTGACTGCTTGCGTACTGTCGAAGTTTCACCATCACAGGGTCCTGGTCGGTCTCTTGTAGAACTTGGCTCAGCCGTCTGTCTGAAACCTGCAGGCAAGCAATGGTGTTCAACTGATAATTCAGGCACTGTTCTTTCAATATTGCTTGGCTCGGGGACCGTGATAAAGCGTCAGCAACAAACAGCTGTTTTCCAGGTGTGTATTTGACGACTATCGGGTACCTCTGCAAGCTGAGGCGCATGCGCTGAAGCCTTAGAGGACATTGGCATAACGGCTTCTTAAATAAAATTTCTAGTGGCTTGTGATCGGATTCTACCACAACTTCAGGCTGCCCGAAAAGATAGTCGCGGAATCTTTCACAGCCGTGGACAATTGCCAGCATCTCCTTTTCGATCTGGGCGTACCTTTGCTGTGTTTCTGTCAAGGAACGCGACGAATACGCTAGTGGATGCCCGTCCTGTATGATCACTGCGCCAACTCCGTTCTGACTGGCATCTACCGACAGCCTGATTGGTTTCCCCTTCTCGTAGTAGCTTAGTACAGGGGCTGTCGCAAGCGCTTCCTTCAGAGCCTTGAAGCTTGCATCTTGGCGGTCCTCCCAAAGCCACGCGACATTCTTCTTTAGTAATTCTCGAAGTGGTGCTGTTAGGTCCGACATATTCGGAATAAAGCGAGAGACAAAATTTACCATGCCCAGGAACGTCTGCAGCTCTTTCTGGTTGCTTGGCGTCTGGACTTGCAAGATGTCTTCTAGCCGCTGTGGATCCAGGCTCAGGCCGTCGCGCGTCAAAATGTGTCCCAAGTACCGGACGGACTCCTGTAAAAAACGGCATTTCTTTCTGTTCAATTTCAGTTTGTACTCTCGGCAACGTCGTAGGACGTGTTCAAGGTTTGCATCATGCTGCTCTCTTGTTCGGCCCCACACTAGAATGTCGTCCATGACAACTGCTACGCCTTCGAGGCCTTCTAGCACGCGGTGCATGGCCCGCTGAAATATTTCCGGCGCCGACGAGATTCCAAAGGGCATGCGCAAAAATCTATAACGGCCGTATGGAGTGCACATAGTGCAAATCTTAGAGCTTTCTTTATCCAGCTTGATTTGCCAGAAACCGGAGGCTGCGTCCAAAGTTGTAAAGTACTGGGCCCCACTTATCGAAGGTGCTATGTCTTCCAATGTTGGCATTGGATAGTGCTCGCGAAGCAGAGCTTTGTTTAGGTCGGAAGGATCAAGACAAATGCGTACCTTCTCTCCTTTTGTAACAACGACCATGTTGCTGGCCCACTCTGTCGGCTCGGTCACTTTCACGATGACTCCAGCAGTCTCCATGCGGTCGAGCTCAGCTTTCACCTTGCTTTGCAATGCTATTGGAATCCGCCGTGCTGGTTTCACTACTCCCTGGGACCCGGGCTTGAGCTTTAGATGGTAGACAATACCCTCCAGTTGACCCAGACCTTCAAACACGTCTTCGTAAGGCTTGGCAGTGCCGTAAAGCTCTATTTGGTCGACAGAGCAGACACGTTGGAGCAAGCCAAGCTCTTCGGCAACTGTACCGCTCAAGGTCACGGCGATTTCGTCATCCACGACGAAAAACTCTGTCAGAATCTTGCTTTCTCTCGTTGCCACTTCAAGACGAACTTGTTTCGTCGCTTTTTTCTGGAAGCCAAAAAATGTGTTTAAAACAACGTTGCAATCAAGTGGCTGCTTGTTTGTTATTTTCTGCAGCTGGCTGCGTGCTATAACCGAGCATGTTGCGCCTGTGTCTAACTTGCAAAAAATAGGCTTTCCTTCTATCTCAACGGTAGCCGTCCAGCGGTCGTCTTTCCCACGGGCATGCGATAGCGTTTCTAACCAGAAATCGCCTTCTTCTGCATCGACAGATGCTACTGCATGCTCTTTCGAATGAAATCTTTTTTGCATCTTCTTGCAGGCTATCGCAAAGTGATTTCTGCCACCGCATTTCCTGCACGTGCGTCCCTTTGCTGGGCACACACGGTCGGTCTGATGAACCTTTGCGCACTTTGTACAACGCTGACCTTTCGCTTCAGATAGCGCGTTCATCTCGGCTGCGTAATCGCTTTTCGGGCGCGCCTGTATCTCTTCACACTGTTCTTTGCCATGTTCACGAGAGCGACACATTTCTACGGTCTTCGTGAAAGAAGCATTTTCGGAGATTAGCTTTTCTTGCAGCTTTTTATCTCTAATTCCGAGAATAATACGGCTTCTCAGCATACGCTCTTCAAGCTGCCCAAACTCGCAGCTTTTTGCTAGCACTCTGAGGTCTGTCAGCCAGTCATTGAAACTTTCACCGTCCTTTTGGTCGCACTTTCCAAAGCGGAACTCATGGTAGGCTAAGTTTAGAGCTGGTTTGTAAAATGCCTCAAACTTCATTTTCAGTACTTCTACGTCCGACTTCTCTTCGTCAGTTGCAAAATCAAGAGTGCTGTACGTCTTGCGTGCGTCCTCTCCGATAATCATAAGAAAGGTGGCTGCCTGTACCTCTTTCGGTTGCTGGTTCAGGTATGTTGCCGTTGCGAAGAGCTCGAACTCTTGCCGCCATGTCTTCCAGCTTCGCCATACGTCTCCTGTGGTGTCCAGGGCTTTCGGCGGTGGCAATAGCGTGGTGACTGGTCCGCTGGCCTGCTGGCGCTGTTCCCCGTTCTGCATGCTTGTAGCTGGTTGGGACCTCCGAGCCGCCCCTGTTGGCTTGCTACGCGTCCGCTGTTCGTTCGCCGGCTGCGTGTATCGGCTGCGGTCCGACCACTTCTGACACCATGTGGCTTGCACGGGTCATGTGCGTCGAAAGAACGTTTATTGAACGATAGCGCTCTCATATATACATTCTATGCCGAGGGGCGTTGCCCCCAATCTGGCGCACGTGTGCATGACTGTCACACAAGAGTTTCAGAATTCTTACGGTTCGCCCGAATCCTTAGTCCAAGGACACGGATACTGTCGACCGCGGGGATCTCTGCGCCGTTAACATACAAGTGGATGTCCACTTCAGGCCTGTTGTGGAGACGCCGTTTTCCGGCGGGCATGAGGAAGAGTGCTTCCGACTTTTCGGCCGAGCATTTAAGTCCTTTGGGCTCCAAGTACTCTACGATTTTATCAATGGCGATTTGCAGAGAGCCTTCAATTTGGCCATCACTGCCCTTGTTCATCCATAATGTTATGTCATCCGCGTAAATGGTGTGATTTAAATTCTCAATATCCTTTAACTGTTCAGGCAGTTTCAACATCACAATGTTGAAAAGGGTGGGTGATAACACTGAGCCCTGAGGTGTCCCCCTGTTGCCTAATTTATTGTCCTCGATGGATTCTTCCCCGATTTTTAAAGTGGCTGTCCTGTTCAAGAGGAAGTCCTTGACGTAGTCATAAAGTTGCTTTCCGACGTTCAGGGAGCTCAGATTCTCCAAGATTGATACGTGCCTCACGTTGTCAAATGCTTTTGCCACATCTAAACCCACGATAACTTTTGTGTCTTGCGTTGGCTTGTCTATAATTTGGTCCTTAAGCTGTAGCATCACGTTGCACGCTGATAGTCGGGGTCGAAAACCGGTCATGGTGTCCGGATACATACCATTGTCTTCCATGTACCTATTGAGCCGCGTCTGAACGACATGCTCCATGAGCTTACCTACGCAAGACGTTAACGATTTCGGCCTAAGATTCTCGAAACGGAGTTTTTTACCCGGTTTAGGAATGAAAATTACATTTGCGAGTTTCCACTCCTGCGGTACCGTCCCTTTTTCCCAACACTCCTGCATGTACGTTGCTAGGTTAGCGATGGACCTATAGTCTAAATTACGGAGCATTTTGTTAGTCACTCTGTCCGGCCCTGCCGCTGATCTAGTCCTTAGCCGATTAATCTCCGCTCGCACCTCAGCCAGGGAGATAGGGGCGTCTAAGGCTGCGTTTTCCCGCCCTCCATAATCTGGGAGAGGTTCGGATCCGGCGGGATTAATGTATCTGCTCCGAACTTCTTCTAAGTGTTCCTTCCTAGTACCTTCAAATTGGTGCGCCATTCGTTCCAATTGTTGTTTAGACGCTGTCTTCGTGCTCTCCGGATCTAAAAGGTGACGAAGAAGTCGCCACGTCCCGGACGTACTTATATTTCTATCCATCTCCTGACAGACGTTCCCCCACCTTTGCTTCGTGAGCGTGATGGCGTGCTCTTCAATTTGCCTGTTTAAAGCTGCTATTTGTTTCCTGATACTCCAATCCCATCTCCTCTGTTGGAGTCGGTTTTCCAAAGCTTTCTTTTTCTTCCAAAGATTTACTAATCTCGTATCTGCCACTTCGTTGTCCTCCTCGGTTTCCACCACTTCAGTGGCTTCCTTAACAGTACGTAACACCCCATCGCACCACTCGGCAATGTCGGAAATGGGAGTTGGGTCGCCCCTGAGGTCCCTGAAAGAGTCCCAATTTACGGCCTCTACCCTTCGTTTCCGAAGTGTTGCAAGGCCTCCCTCTACCACTATTTCTATGATCAGGTGATTACTGCCTAGGTCTTCGTTTGTGTTGCACCACGTGGCACTAGTGCCGCTCCCCGTCAGGGTAAGGTCGGGTGTGGTATCAACCGCGACACTATTTCCCTTCCTCGTTGGCTGCAACGGGTCGGTTATCAAGTCCAGATTATGAGTTTGCATGTCATCCCACAATTTCCTGCCCTTAATTGAAGCCTGCTTATATCCCCATGCCGTGTGGTGAGCGTTAAAGTCACCGACGATCAGCAATGGGTTGTTCTTACTCTTACGTCGCGTAGAAGCGAAGAGATCCCCAAAGTCGCATCGCCTTTGTCTGGGAGAGCTGTATATATTTAATACGAACAAGCTAGCGTTTTTCTTTTTTTGGGGTATTAGTTCTATGAGAACATGGTCGATGTGTGCATTACCAATGTCATGCTGCACCGCCGTAACGTTTCGCCTGACCAGGGTGGCCACCTGCGTACTCGTGCCTTCGCTTACATAGGATTTATAACCCGGCAACGTCGCCTTTCTCCCACATTCCTGTAAAGCTATAACATCCGGTCGATCCCCTTTCCTCAGGAATTCCTGCAGAACCGCACGCTTGCGCGTGAAGCCTCTGCAGTTCCATTGCCAAACGGTGTTCTTACTGAATCTGTGAGCCATGATTGCCACTAAGGTGATTCATCGGCCTGCCTAATACTTCTTGGGCGAGCTGTTCATAAGCCCGATCCCTCTTCGCGAATTCTGTTTTAAGTTCCTCGGTAAGTTTATTATCCCGCTGATGCAACTGCTGATTCAGATTTTGAAACATCTCGAACATTCGTTTCTCGAAGGCCTTACGCCATTCATCGTCCTGGGTAGATTTGGCTTCAATGTTTGCCTCCAGTTGCGCTATTTTCATGTCTATCACTGTCCCTACGTTCTCCTCTATTACGGGCTTTTCCGCTTCTTTTGCCCTCTTTTTCGCTGGAGGTGGAGTAGCGCTCTGCTCCTCCGGCATTTTTATAATTTGATTCTGTGGCATTTTTGGTAGGGAAACCGGTGTTGTGTTAGACGACTTAATAGCTATTTGAAGCTCCTCTATTTGCCGACTCATCATTGCTAGCTGCTCTTTAAGCATGTGATTCTCTTCCTTAATGGTTAACATTTCTTCATCGCGTTTATCCTGGGAGGCCCTATCTCCCCAACCCACCTTGCGGTTCGACGACGTGGGTCTCCCACTGTTGAGGACAGCACTGCCGGAAGTTCCCTCGTTTACTGGACCAGTCATTGGTGGCAGATCTCCTTCTTGTCTTTCCGGTAGTCTTGGGAAGGAACCTGCTCTTCCTCTTGAGCCTCTTCGATGCTTCGACCGGCTCCTGGACCGTTCTTTGATCTCTTCCATTCTGCACGTTTGTGGATCGGCGTCTTTCGCCTTCCGCTCTTCTCCTTCCATTCGCCGCCAAGCCTCCCACTGTCTCTTCATTATTGTATAAGGGGTCCTGAAAGCTTCCTTGCATTTCCGATCTGCTGTCAGATGACCTTTGCCACACAGCTTACACTTGGGCTCACATGCATGGTCCTCGGGTGGAGCTGTCATTCCGGATCCCCGGCAGCGAACATGGTCGCTGATACACACGTCCGATCTGTGTCCTAGCTGGCCACATCGGTAGCACACCTCGTATTGTTTCTTATAAAGCACGCACTTCAGTGGTACGCCGTAACAGTACATCCACCTGGGCACTGTCTCATTTTTGAAGATGATGACCGCTGAACTTGAGTTCCGCAGCTTCCTAACACCAAGTATCGGTGGGTTCCTTGAGTTGTCGAAAGCCTCTGTCAGTTCCTCTACTGACAATCTCGGGTCGATGCCGCGCACCACACCCCGCCCGCTATCCTCGTGCGGCGCGAGGTACGCCGTGACGTCATAGCTCTTGCCTTCAATCTTGATAGACTTAATCCTGGTCACCTTCCAGACAGTGTCTATGTCTGGAGTGCTGAAAATCAGGGTGCCTTGCTTGTCGTTAACAATGAACACTTCCTTTTCTTGTCCCTTAATCCACGAAATTTGCGCTCCCATGCGCACCGCCTCACTGAGCCTGGTGTTCGGAATTTTTGTGAGCGCCAGCCCGCAGTTCGGACTAATGATTATCTTGTAGTCGTTCGCCGGCATCCGCGGTAGGTACGACGCAATCGAGCGCTCCGCGATCTTGTGCCCAAGCTTTTTGTATGCTGCGTTCGCAGCCGCCGTCTTCTTCCTGTCTTCGCCGGGCTCGGTTCCACTTTCTGCCCGGGCGTTACCATCTTGGCGTCCCTGTCTGTCACCTCTAGCGGCGTCACGCAGCTCTTTCACATGTTTTCCAACTTTCGTGATCCAGTCAGCGGTTCTAAATTCTTCAGGGGTACTTTCAGTACCCTCCACGGTCGCCTCCATTGCCGTCGCGTCTCCACAACGGGGCTCTGAAGCGAACGCCGGGGGCGTCGGCCACCGCCGAGCCGCCGCGTTTGTTCACCGCTAGCGTTAGGCTTTGCTGGGCGGAGACGCAGTCGACACCAAAATAGCCATAAAATGCCCCAAAATTTACTCACAGTCCTGAAGTCGTGGTCTAGATGGTCCAGAGAACTTCAGGCAGGAGATTATAGGAGTTGTTTGCTGTAACTGCACAATTTCCACCAGACCAAACAACTTTCCGCGGAGCTGATGCGAGGCACATCCGAACTCCCTGGCCCCCTGGTGGCCATCCAAACTACTGGTAAAATGTCATTTTGTCACAAGTCAGGAGGCACGAGTGGTCGCTAGCTAACCTTCGTGTATGTGACATGCAGTCCCGGGAACGTGCACTGTGGCATCGGTAAAGGGTCTTCACAAAGGATGCTTAGAAATTTTTTAAGTTTTGTCGTAATATTCTTATTTCTTCAAATATGTCGCTGCAGCATTTATATTGACTCCAAGAGCGCTTTGAGCTTGTGTAGATTTCACCTTACAGGATGCCCAATATTTATAGTATTTTTTAGTGAAAACCAAGATGTGAGTACAAGGGACGTCGGGAGGTTGAATTACGACATGTGGACGATATGTTGTCCTTCACACGCATCAATATCAAAGCCCACGTGCCCCTGCCATTTCGCGCCCATCGTACTGTGATTGTAGTGGCTGAGACTATATTCTGCAACCATTAGATAAACCGCCGAACGCTGTAACCTCTGCATCATTGT